CACACACACACACACACACACACACACACACACACACACACATCTACTATGTCTCTCTATCCTTGTGGGGACTTTCCATTGACTTCCATTCATTTTTTGGAAATTTAATAACCTAACCCTGACTATTTACCCTAAAACTAACCTAAACTCAATTCACTCCATGGTCCTAAACATAACCTCCCCACCCAAAATCAGCCTCCGAAGTCATGGGGACCGGGCTTTGGTCCCCACAAGGAGCATTCGGTCCCCACAAGGCTGCATTTTTCTAAAAAATTGCAAGTAGCGGTCTCTGCAGAACGTGTTGTCCTGTGGGCGGAGACGGCCCAAATCGTCATTGGCGGAGGTGTTGATGTGGGCGGAGACGTCCCTGCTCGTGATTGGTGGAGGTGTTGATGTGGGCGGAGACGTCCCTGCTCGTGATTGGCGGAGGTGTTGATGTGGGCGGAGACGTCCCTGCTCGTGATTGGCGGAGGTGTTGATGTGGGCGGGGATGGTCCGAGACGTGATTGGTCGAAGTAATGGTGGGGTTTGAGGCTGGAGGCGGCGGGGAGTAGCTTGGGTGCGTCAGGCAGGAAGTAACGTTTTTTTAGATTAATTTTAGTCATAACTTGAGAAAGGAAAGTGCTATCTGCACGAAATTTGAACGTCGTAGTAACATGTGAAAGGGTGTGCAACAATACGGCTTGGTTAAAACATCCCTAACCAGCCTGTAAAAAATATTGATTTTTAGCTATCGTTTTACAGGCTGGTTAGGGAGGTTTTAACCGAGACACATCCTTTCACATGTATGATGGTCAAATTATGTACAGCTAGCACTTTCCTTTCTCAAGTTATGACTAAAATTAATCTTTAAAACATGTTGCTTCCTGTCTGACTCGATCAAGCTGCTGCCTTCAGCCTCCTCAAACCCCACGGTCAATCCAACTAATCACTGTCCCTCAGAGCTGGCAGCTCTGGGAGATTCTGAGGCCCACCCTTCCCACCCCTCTGATGCTGGACCTCCTGCTCCAGCTCCTGCTGGTCCTCCAGCTCTGGTTCCTGTTGGCCCTCCAGCTCTGGTTCCTGTTGGCCCTCCAGCTCTGGTTCCTGTTGGGTCTCCTGCTGAGCCCTGTGCTCCTGAGGTTCCTGGGTTATCGGCTATCACCTCCATGTCGCCTGGTTCGGCTGCCGTCGCCTCTTCGTCTCCTCTGTCGCCTTTGGTCCCCATCGCCAAGGCTCTGGCTCCCTCAACCTCTGCTGGTTCCTCATTGGCTCCTGCCTCCTCCCTTAGCTCTGCTCAGCTCCTGTGGCCTCGTCAGATGTGGAGTGGGGATCTCCAGGTCATCCTCCTGACCTTGGCCTCTGCGGCAGGGAGGTTCATGGCTTGCCTCCTGGACTTTTGATTTGGGACATCCGGAACGGTCCCATATTGGGGGGGGTATTGTTATAATTTGTGTCTGTGTTAATGTTTTATTTCAGTTTTCTGTCTTGTCATCTGTTTTCTTCCTCCTGTCTGCCTGTGCTCCAGCCCCACCCACTCACACCTGATCCTCATGTATCTTCCCCAGGTGTTTCTTGTTTTGGCTCATTAGTTTTCTCTTTACATTCTGTTCAGTGTCTTCAGTGTTTGTCAGATCCTTGTTTTCTGTTTGATGTTCATTTTCCTGTCCAAAGCCCTTGTTCTTGTTTGCTGCCACGTCAGCACCTTTGTTTTTTTTTTTTAATAAATCACTTTTTGTCACCTCACTCAGTTCTGCATCTTGGGGTTCAAACCAACCGAGCTCAATCTTAACAAACAAATGTTGGTTCTTTAACTCTAAGTTGACATTTTCCCTTTTCAACTTATGTACAGTTTTGAACTGGCCTCATCTAACTTGAGTTGCCAAAATCCTGAGGATGCATCTAGTTTGCTCTCAATTGCTTGATTAAATCTCTTGGATCCATACATACTCAGGGGTTTCCATTCTTTTTGACAACTATAACAAGTGAACTCACCCATTCTGTTGGTTCACCTATCTTCTTGATCACTTGCAGCTTTTCCATTCTGGCCAACTCTTCTTTTAGTGGCTGCTGAATGGTACTTTTGGGCAATGGTGAACGATTGGTGGAATGCTTTTGTCTATTCTGATCATGTGCTCACCTTGTAGACCTCCCAGGCCCTGGACCAGACCTTCATGCTCATTCATGAGTTTTTTGTAGCATGTTTTTCCTTCACTGTCGACAACAAGCACTCATTACTACGGTAGATTCAATCTTGTACAAGCAGAAAAACCTAGAATGGTTTGCACATCTTCTGTCACCACCACAAATGCAAGTGTGTAAGCCTTATTTTTGAGTCACTTTAACCATGCATTTAGCCTACCTTTTACTGATATTGCTATTCCTGAGTATCCTTTCATTTTTGTCCTGGTTTCATGCATTTGAGGTCTTGGTCTGATTTTCTTGAACTCTGCTTTGGATATTACATTTGTTTGAGCTCCTGTATCAAGCTTCATGGCAAAATACGAGTTATTTACCTTCAGTGCTATTATCCAGTCCTCTTTCTTCAGTGTTGTTGTTTGTCACCACATCTACATAGAACTCATCAGTGTCACTTTCATTCACTGTATGAACTTTGCTTTGCTGGTTCTGACTTTTACACCATCTGCACTAATGGTTCTTTTTGTTGCAGTTATTACGTTTTGCCAAATGTTGGACATCTTTTAAGGGGATGCTGTGTATCACACCGGTCACGCGTCTTCCCTTGTCTTTCCATGTTTATTTGTTTTTGATTCTTATTTTTCTCTGTGTATGTCCATTTCTTTTTTGTCACTCTGTTTTTCTCCTTTTCTATAGCATCAATGGTGCTGCCTTCACTGAACAGCTCAAGTTTTCAACGTCTCTGCTGCTTAACACAGGGCTATTGCTTTTTTTCCAGGTTCAGATCCTGCTCTCTGAACAGGCTCTCCATCAGACCATTGTCCAGAATTTCCACACACCAGCCTATCTTTGATTAAGGAGTCTGCTAGTCCGCCAAATTCACATGTCTTCCTTCTGTTCCTTAACTCAGTTACATACTGATCAAGAGTTTCACCAGGTTTCTGCACCTTGAAAAACCTGTGCCTCTCAAATGTCACATTTCTTTTGGGTATGCAATAAGCTTGAAATGCTGCAATTATTACACTGAGCTTCGTGTTGTCATTTTCTTCATCAAAATTGAAGTTACTGAAAACCTCCTGTGTATCATCGCCAACAACGTAAAAAAACACAGATGATTGCTTTTTCTCACTCTTTTCATTGGGGCCAATGGCAGTCAAGTACAGCTCAAAACATCGTCTGAATCGTCTCCAGTTCTCTGCCACATTACCTGTCAGTTGCAAACTAGGTGGTGGGTGCAATCCTTCCATGTTCAGATCACAAACACACAACTACTTCTCTAACTTTCTGTTCTGTGCTACAAAACCAACAACCTCTGTAGGACCAGTTGTCATGTTTGTGTCATGGGTTCTTCAACAACCGCACTGTAGTGTTACTTGAAGCAGGCAGCTTCATTTAGGTTCAGAACTGAGGCATTTCTATACATTGGACATGTGGACTTATCAAGACAGGAGCACCATCTAAACACCAAGTTCCGGTGCACATGCTCTCATAACTCAAAACAGACACAGGTTGAAGGCTCATATCATTACCAGTGATATGAGCTACACAAGTTAACATACTGTACAACCCTGTTTATTGTGACCCAGTTCCTTCAAGTTCTGAGGAATACAGAAATGATATTGACCTGTACCATGACAGGTGTAATATTTAAATATTCCTAACATTCCTTGCATGATATTGGTGATTGAAACAAATCTAACACTTCCTAATTATATTAGACAAGTACACAAGCTTGTAGGAGTAGGAGGTGATTGAAGGGGAGGAAAGTGGAAAGGCAGAACAGGAGGTTTCATCATTCTACACAGGTGAGCATGGTGAGGAAGAAGAGAGGGAAGAAAAAATTAAGCACAGGGAAAATGGCTGTGACACAAAATGGACGGAAATAACCAAACCACATAGAACAGGTTTAGAGTCAACCCCCCACTGACAACCCACCATCATAGTTTTTAAAAAAATCCTAGAGGAAACCTTGGAGGTTTTTCAAATTTACCACAGTCCAGCCATGATGTAATAACTTGTCATGGAGGGAGTGATAGGCTTTTAAGCCTTTGGGGTTAAGCCAGTGATAAACTTTAAGACAAGCTTTTGACAATGGTTATGATTAAAGTGATTATTTTTAAAATCACACATAGCATTCTCAAGCAGGATCCAGATATATCTGTGATTCATGGCAAATGCAGGTTTCTAATGTTTGTTGTATTTTCATGTAAGAGAAAAATACCAAGATCATAAAAAAGTCTGTCTTTTTTTGGTGACAATGAAACCATTTAATTTGTTGATTCTGTTGTGATGCTGATCCAAGAGATTTTTTTATACAGCCAAAAATGACTCTCAGGTCAGCGGATTCTGATGTTATCAGTCAATTAAATGGACATTATTAGCGGTTATCAGTCCCATAGAATGGCTTCAGTCTGTCCCGACTGTGCCTTCTAGCGGGTTATCAGTCCCATAGAATGGTTTCATACTGTCTTGACACTGCCCCCTAGGTGGGTTAATATATCAATGACAATGAATGTGTAAATAACCAAAACATATTTTCATTCATTTTTGGTCCGGGGTGGGGGTGGGGTGTCTCTCACTGTTTTCTTGCTGACCGTGCCTGGTCTCATTCCTGGCACTCTCACTCTCTGGTCCTGTGCTCTGCCCGTTGCCCTATATTGGGCCTGCAACAATGATCTACTTTATTGAAGGCCATGACCATTTTCTCTAAAATTAACCTTACTGGCTTTATGCCTCATATTAACCTTAATGGTTTTATGCCTCATTTTAACCAGATTGCATAAAAAATCTTAGTGGCTTTACGCCTCATACTACCGTAGGTTCTGACGTTATCAGTCTATGGGATGGAGAACCCACTAGGAGCCACAGTCAGGACATTCTGAAAGCCATTCCATGGACATGCTAACGACTAATAACGTCCATTTAATGGATGATAACATCTGAAGCGAGTGCTCAGGTCAGGGGAGTTTGTAATTGTTGCTTAAAAAAGAATCATGTGAAATGTTTTCTATCCATCCATCCATCCATCCATCCATCCATCCATCCATCCATCCATCCATCCATCCATCTATACCCGCTTCTTCATTTCAGGGTCACTGGAGTCACTGGTGCCCATATCCAGCAGTCACAGTGGGAGGTGCGGGGTACACCTCAGACAGGTCGCAAGTCCATCACAGGGACAAAATGTTTTAGGAGGTTGTGAAATGTTTTCCTTAGAAGGAAAATCAGCTAAAACATTTAAAGGTCTGAAACAAAAAATAATAATTACAAAAAATTACAGTCAAATTTTAACATCTTCAGAAAATATATTACACCAAAATCTTGTTTTCTTGTTCTACTCTTTTCTTCAGCGGTTGCCATCATGAAATCACATGACAGATTTGGCAATTGATTGATGTCCTTTCTAGAACAACCTGGATTCAAATGTGCAGACTCAGGGTTACAAGACCGCAACAATAACCACCAAGCTACCACAGCTGCTTAATTATGTTACAAAAAAATAATAAAAACAGGTCAAAACTAAACACTTCAAAATACAATGACAGCCACTAAATCATTGTTAGCTTAGAACAGTCAAGGAAGATTCTAAAAAGACAAACATTTTCTTTATTACATTTTAGATACGAATCATTTCCATGAACATGCATTCTGTATATCATGACTTGTACCATCCATGATACAAGTCTTTAGCAATCAAACTGTATTATTTATTTAACACTGGAGAATCAAAAAAATGTTCAAAATGTATATTTTGTTTGTTGCACAGACAGAATCCTTCCATGACTAAACTGAGGTCAACCACCATCCAAAGCAATAAAGTGATTTAGCCAAAAGTGATCATACAAGAGTGAAATAGAATGTTTGAATTGGGCTCAGCAACACATTAAGTTCCATCATCTCATCTTGGCTCTTCCCTTCTCACAATTTAAATGATGACTTTTTCCGGGTGACCGTCATTGGAGTGAGCTACATCTTCGTGCCAAGCTTTGCTTTCTGTCAAAAAGACACATTGCAGAAGTTAGTTTTTCTCAGTTGCTAAAACACATTTCTTGAAACCATCCATTCATTTCTCTAAACTGTAAACACAAAACCCAATTTTCAAACTATTTTAACAGAAACTCTGACTCTTCCACCAAAACTGAACTCTAGCCCCATAACATTTCAAATTTTGCTAAAAATCAAACTATGTTGTTAGATCAAACCTCGAGTCCATCAAAAAGAAAACGTTGCACAGCTGAAATCACAATGATCAGTTCATGACGCTTTTGAAGTTATCTTTATTGTCCATAAAGGAAAAAGCTTTTCATAAACAAAACTCCTGATTAGCACTTGTAGTAAAAAAGGAAACATCCATCCATCCATCCATCCATCCATCCATCCATCCATCCATCCATCCATCCATCCATCCATCCATCCATCCATCCATCCATCCATCC